ATCATGTTTTTCCGTCTGGTCGGGGCATAGAATAGGCCACCCCCTTCTCTCCCATGGGCGTCGTAAGAGTGAAACTAACGTGTAATTGGCCTTACGAATTGAGTCAACCAACTACTCTTCTGACGTGCTATTTATTCGAGACCTGACATATTTGCCCATCAGAACTCGATTGGGCTGGAAATCGTATCATCTGTAGACATTAGAGGATTTTATTTAAGATCGAAAACCTGGAAATTCTTGAGTTCGAATGGTGTCATCCAGTAATAGTATTTAATACAAAAATAATAGTTTCGTATTTTAGCTGTAGTAGTCTTATAATATAGTACTTTTTTACACTTCAATCGTGCTTATGTTCAAACGAATATAATAAAATGTAAATTTATTTAGTTTAAACATAAGTACATTTATTTTTTATAAATTTCTCTCATTACAAAAAATTTTTAGAACACTTTTTCAATGCGATATTCAATAAGAATTAAGAGCGTAAGGTAAAGTAATGATGTGTCTAATTTCCTTAATATAAAATAAAAAATATAATAAGAACAATAGATACACTTTACTATTTCTATTCGTAGTTGACTTTGCTAGGAAAAAGATATTAACCTTCAAACCGAAACACAGCCATGCAAACACAACTGCTTTACGGTACAAACACGAATGGGTCTCGCTCTGGTGATAACTGAAGTCTTAGTACTTTTTTATTAAATAACGAGTAAAACTTCCTGTTATATCAATTTAAATTTATTACAAAAAATAAATAAATAAAGGATTAACCCGAAAACAAATCATTATGTCTAATCTCTGTAACGGATAAACTTAAAAAATACTTAAATTATTTTAATAAAATTTTCACCTGTATAAAGTTACATTATCAGGGAGTAATATGAACTATATTTTAATTTAAAAAAACCATGCGAAGCCAGGTGGATTATTAGTTAAATATAAACAACATAACTAATTAATTTAGTTACAATCTTTAATAAACATCTAGTATTGAATGAATTTTAATACGAAATTTGTTTTAAAAGTAATTTAACTTTAAAAGAAAAAAAAAATTAAAAGAAACTCTCAATTTATTCACAATTCTTTGTCTAAGAGAAAGAACATTAAGTATATTGTCATTTTGAAGTCATGGAACAATAAATAACACTTGTATTGTTTCGTTTAATTAATGATGTTATCAAATTAAAATAATGTCTTCTCTTTCTTAACGAAATTTCTATCGCTTTAATTTAGGTATATGTCATCATCCTATGCACATAAAAATGATAGAAATTTGATAATTTTTAATTGAAATTTGAAGCAATAGCTAGCTATATTACTCAACTATGTTGATGTGCATTATAATTTTACTCTTACTAATATAACAAAATTGTAATAAGATGATATCAGTACATGGGAGATGTTAAAAAAAAAATATATGAGGGGTCTTAAGAAGAGCAAAAAAGTCAAAATAAGATTTAAAAAAATTTTGTCTCTGTATGATTGATCCGGCATTGAGTAATAACTAACTGACTAAATTGAATGCGGTTTTATTTGCACAATTTAATTCCTGAATATCTAACTTAAAATCTGGTGTATGTATTATTTTGAAGCGCCATCTAGAAGTAGTCTATTTCAATAGTTTTCTATTTCTGAAATCCACGCGTGCAAAGTAGCGAACAAATACTAGTCTATACTAATATTATAAAGAGGAAATATTTGATTATTTGTATGTTTATAATAAATAAATACAAAAACTACTAAACCGATTTTAGAAAAGCATTCACCTATGGAAAACTACATTATCAGTGAGAAACATAGGCTATATATTATTTCTAAATATTCTTTCTACTCGTGCGAAGCTGGACCGGATCACTAGTAATTAAATAAAAAGGGATGTACATTCCCTAGTAAGTACACAGAAAGCTGTGTACTTATTTACCATTAATTTCTTTTCATCTAGCCGTAACGAATATCCGAACGTATTTACAAACTTTTACATTTGTAGTTAATTTTAGTAGGATTTAGGAGAAAATACCAAAAAATCTAACTGATCTTTAGTTTGTAGAAGATTTTAGTTTTATTAATAAGGCGATAAAAGTTTTATATTGGGTTATATCAGCCGTATTCTTCTTTCATTTTATAATCTGAGTAACTTTTATAGGAAACGTAATCAAACTCCGTAATGGATACAATAAATTACACAATAAGTTAAATCAAATCATGGGAAGGTCATAAATTGCTGAGTTTCGCCGGCCAGTGGATCCCGAGGGATCGGAATTATACCATTTATCTTGCCCGTATAGAAATGAACGGGATCTCGTAATTTCCGTATTCCACTTATGGTCTTATGTTGCCGAAGTGACATTTTTTGATGCCTCTAGATAGTTCTTACTTTGTTTCTGACACGGGGGAGATCACACTATATTATTTATTATTATATATATCTATATAACAATCTTAATACAGGTTTATGTGATTACTAGTTCTTACCAGTAACTTATTCCACGTGACCGGGATATATTTTTATTGACCAGGATTAAAAGTAACATGTCCTGCACTATCCCATATAGTAAGTACGTGTATACCAAATTTTATAGTGATTAGTTAAGTCATTATAAGGTAACAAACGAAGAAATTCACTTTCATATTTAATAATAATAATTTATAAATAATATTAATAAGGATTTAATTATTTACTGGGTACAGAGGAATGACACCTGAGTCCTCAGGAATTGCAACGCATGGGGGTATCATGGGCGAAACAGTATACTCTGTTATGTCCATGGTACTGCTCATGTCTACAGGCGATGGTTACCACTTTCCATCAGGTGGGCCGTCAGCTTGTTTGCCATTCTAAGTTGTATAAAAAAAAATATAAAAATAATTATTTAATTTGAAACATGACAAAGCTATTTTTATGTGACTTCAAAAAGGACGAGGTCTCCATTTCGTTTGTTATTCTTTTACGCAATCGAATTATCGATTCTGAACGAATTTTGACAATTCTTTTTAATATTAATGAAATCGATACGGCTTAATCCAATTTGCAAATCAAAATCTACTCGTACGATATACGATTCCACGTTCTAAATTCAAATATTTTCAGTTTAATATGTATACGAGACGTCTCGTCTTACATCAGTGTTTTATTATGATTGAATTCGTGCTATTTTTTTTTAAGAATTATTATTAGACCTTTATGCAGTGTATAAGATTTATTAATTTTAACATGGCATGATTAAATTCCATTGCGATATGATAACTCAATTATTATTATTCTTAAAAATTGTCATAAACCAATATTAATATAATAAATTGTTACCAATATATATTCAGATTCTAATTTAGAATTTTTATTTACATTAAATATGGGCACATCAGATGAATATTCAATGATATATGGTTCGAGCTACATGTTTCACCTAATTACTGGTATACAAAATTATAAAGTTACACTCTATTACTTAGTCGTTTTGTATATAATTTTTGTTTATTAATTTACACTTTATTGAGCCATTTAAAAAATAATAAATACAATTAACTTTAATGAAAAGTGATACAAATGGCGACCTTATCGCTAAGAAATCTCTTTCAGGTAACATTTGGGTAGAGTACATTGAGAAAAAAATATAGGTAGGTATGTCAAAAATAATTATCTTGTAAGTGCCTTAATTAAATGTCTATTCTTAATATTATTATTTACGCAGCATTTATACGATTTCTGCAAAGAACTTTTGTATTTATAAAATCGTATATCTATAATGCTTATTATAGGTATATTCGTATATAATCGAATCAATTCTATTTTAATCGTACTCAGTTTGGAATAATAATAAGGTTAATTACCTGAAACATAATGAGATTAACACACACGTTTTCCATAAAGCGTGCACTAAAACCCAATAGATCAATTAAACGAAAGGGCTTGGGTCTGTAATGTAATTAAGGAATGACTACCCATTTGGAGAGGTTTCCCTAATCATACTATTAAATCTAATATCGATATGAAATCAAATTTATAGGTACATCACAATTCTAATTCGTAAAGCTATTATTAAAATATAATCACAATATAAAAATAATATTTAAAAAAATATATATGAATAAAAGAATTTTGATATTTTAAGAAGTGGTGATGACTTTAATAAGATACAGTGCGATAAAGTCGCCGTATCGCGATATCTTGTCGATGCAATCGCAATTCCGACTTGACGATTCTAAAGTCATCATGCTGGCTTCAAGCTTTAAGGTTTCCATTCATACAAATATTATAAAATTGTAACTAGTCAATACATGAGATATATTCAAGAAAAATTAATATGTGTTTAATAAGATCAATACATGTCAAATCACAATTTTTAGACATTTTGTCAGTATATTTGTTTATTCCGGTATCACGTAAAACTACAATAATTAATTGAATGCGGTTTTTACAGTTGTATTTCTGAAGGTCTAATGTAAAAATTAGTGTATGTTTTATTTTGATACGCCATGTGGAAGTGGTTTGTTACATTAGTTTTCTTTCCTACTTCTTAAATCCACGCATACGAAGTAGCGGGCAAAAAGCTAGCGGTCAATAAAACGGAATAATTTATTACATATTTATGGTAATATTTCATCGTTCTGTGGGTTATCAGTATTTCAATTATCCAAGTTGAATTCTTTTTGTACGGATAATTTGTAACTCAGAGTTGTTCATTAGAAATAACCTATGCCGAGTCACTTTTATAGTTTATTACCTACGTGTAGAAATGAAAAAGAATAAAATAATAAGATAATTTTAAGTTTTATTGTACAATAAGGAACAAAAAAATATATACATAGATAGCAAACATTATTATTACAGGTTTTAGTAATGTGCCAATGCGGATTTTATTTTGAAAATCCTCACTAATATTATACGAGTATAAAGTTTATTTTTTTCCATAGGGATTATCATATTTCGTTCATTCGAATGAAGTTGCTGGTTAGTCTTAAACATATAAAGAAGTAAATATCTTGTATTTCTTTTACAGTGAAACGGAAAGAAGGTATGTGGGGCGGGGGTGCGCAGTGCGTGCACGCCTCGCTGCCGCGCGGTGCGCGTGCGCAACCCGCGCCCACGCTCAGCGGCGCTATCGCAAGCCGCCGCCCGCCCAGGTAATCTAGTCGTATTATATTAATATTCTAAATAAGTTGTATCTCGTGGTTTTGCTCGTGTGAACCAGTATAATTATCCTGTGTACTAAGTAAGGATATATACCTACTATATAGCTACTCTTGTATCAAATTCGATTCAAACCCGTTTAGTAGTTTTTTGTGAAAAAGTAGAAAACATCCATCCAATCATCGATCCTTAAAAATTTATGAAAAAGTTTCTTACTCTGTTTAGTGCATAATAAAATGCAATAAAATCTGTTTATTTTTTTCCTTTCGGCTTCTTAAGCCGCGGTTAAAAACTAGTATAATAATAATTATACAGATAAATTACACAGCTCAGTTCGTACTAAAATAAAATAAACATTGTTAGTCCAATAGCTTAATTGCCCAATTTATATTCCAATGGTCGATATTTTAGTAAGTATTTCGTCGTCCGTAGTCTAAACTAATTTACAGTAAATTTATTTCTTGTTTAATCCTTACTAATTTGAAAGCGAGTTTGTTTGTTACCTCTTAGTGTCTTAACCAACCACTGTTGAAATTGGTAAGATTATATCGGATGAGTAGCATATAAGCTACAGGTAGTAATCATATCTTAGTTACGCAGACGAAGTCGCGGGTAAAATTAGTAAAAAAATAATAGGAAAGTTGGCAAAAACTGAAATTCATTACTTATACTTTATAAATCAGTATGTGTAAGTAGATTCCATGGATATCAAATGTGTGGGTTGTGTCTCCCATTGGTAATTAATACAAGAGATATTACTCTACAGTAATATCTCTTGTATTAATTAAATTTTAGATTAAATTATGGTGCATCTTCTATTTTACGATAAGGGCAATTCACCCTATTATATAAATAACCAAATAATCATGTAAAAGTAAAAATAAGGTAGCGCCGAGTAACTCAAAACTCTGTCTCTAATTATATGCATTTATGTTATTTAAAGAATAACCATTTCCCTTATTCCTATGGGATTTTCGATTACATGTTAGTGTATTGTTTGCATCACAAAACGAAATTATTTTCAAACTTTCCAGTTTCTAAATAAAATTATTTACCCCTTATTCATAAAAACGTTCAATCTCTAATAAACCTATTTTAGTTATGTAGCCTTTAGTTTTTTTTTCTTTTTATGTTGATATTTCAATTATAATAAAATTTAAAAAAAAAGGTTTGTAGAAAGTATTTTTATAAATAATCGTGGACAGTCGACGATTATTTAATAAAATACTATATATTAGATCAGTAGGACAATTCTTATTATTATGATATGCAAAAACTTTAAATATTTTTACAAAAAATTTGAATGAAAAAAAAAATGAGCATATACTAGCAGCATTTTATATTACCTACCTAAACAGCATCTTGCTGTATTATGATCCCATAACGTTGTGATTTACGCTCGCAAAAAAATTGAACTGCTAAACAATTTATATGCAAGTTCACACCCAAACTTGGTAAGCAGTTTTCTGCAGCGGTCTTTATGATAAAAAGCTATTAAGGTTGGAATAACACCATCCCTAATAATAATGCTTATACTTTATAATGTATTTTTTTTCCTTACTAATATTATAAATGTGACAGTGAGTTGTTACCTTATAGTGCCTTAACGTTTTAATCAATCACTATTCCTCTGCAATGCCTCAACATTCATGGGCATAAAGATAAAGATAAATTTAATATATAAAGGTAATAGTAATATACTCGTAGATCAAATCCAGACATAACGTATTTCTGTAGTGGTATTTCCATCTTTTCAGTATGGGAAAAAGCCTTATTTACGATTATAATTCTTTAAATTAAATTAATTAATTAATTAAGATTTATTCTTAGTGCGATTTAATAGGTGAAGTATAATGAAATATTACGCAATGAATATTGTTTATTTTACATAAAAAAATATATGTTATAATGATTTATGAATTAGGTAAGAATTACTGAAATTTAAGAGTATAGTGAGCAGATGAAGAACTGAAATGATATAGCCAAAAGCATCGGCAAACAGATGTGCATACCTGGAGACCTAGTTAATTTTTTCTCTCTTTTATATGAGGCCCTCTAGAAAAGTGGCAAGCGAATTTATCGATAGAATCGATATCACTAACGAGTCTGTGAGATAGAATGAGATAGCAACGTCGGATTTCTAATTCCAACTCATGGTCTTGCTAGTGACGTCGATTCCTTCGATGAATTCGCTTGCCACTTGTCTAGAGGCCTGGTTGTCTATAGAAAAATGATATTCTCAAACAGTAAATTTTAAATTCCAGGCCAACACCTCCATCTCCGACATTAATAGCTCAAGTGGACTCATCAGTAGCCTGCCTGTGGCTGCTCACACCATTGTCAGCCGGTACAGCTGTGGTGGCAGTACTAGTGGCAGTCTCCACAAATAACTGGCTCCATACAGAAGAGAACATGCTGAACCCCGCATACAATGGTACGGGGAAACACAGTTTGGTTGCCAAACACACTGTATCGGGCTTGTGGAGAATATGTCACACGGATCGTAAGTATTTTTATATATTATTATACATGATTTAGTAATAAATCTTTAGACTGTCTGAGTGAGGGAAATAGAGATGAGGAAAGAAATATTTTGTCTTTTTCTCTATTTTATCATTTATAAAAATTAAAGTAATATTTGAGGTAAATAATTAAAAAAAACTTAATGCTGGATTTTATAGAAAGATGTTGACAAAAAGTGTATTTAATAAAGTTTTCAGAGTTTAAATATTTATATATTTGTCTATTTACTCATATCTTATCATTTAAAAGTCTGGATAAATGATGCATTATTGGAACAGATGTAATTTCATAAAATTAATGGTAGGTACGGCCAATACAGAAAAAATGTAATAGCGGTAAAATCTGTTAAGTTAAAATGAAAGAAAAATTCCTATTATTTAAGTAGTTACAAAAACATGAAATCAGCATCTCTTTATAACTAAGAAGGAGGCTTTGATTTCGTTTTGTCAACAAAAAAATTTATAGCTCAAAGAAAACATAATACGAGTGTCAAGAAAAAAAAATGCAAAAACACCTAATACAAGCCATAACTTTGCATTGGCCTTGTTCTTATTTGCCCATTGAATTCAGAACGATCTTCGGACGATCTCGAAAATTGAGGTTATTAGATTTCAGATTTACTTTATGAAGAGAACGGTGAATTGAATTAGATACGTTTTCTCTCATCCATTCCCCAAATAGCCACTTTTATAAAGGAATACCTATTTAAAAATATACTGGGAGTACTTATATAAATTTATAGTAATTTGTTTCTATTTTATCCTCAAACTTTATACCCATTAATATTCAAAATTACAGTTACGTTCCATTAATTCTTTTTATTATCAGCGTATAAAACAAAAGCATAATTTTAGAATTATTATTAAAATCAGAAGCCATAGAATTCATTATATGTTTATTAGTTTAGAATAGTTTAGGTTATGTTATTTTATGTTAACGTTATGTTATTGAAATTTATACTCTTTTCATTTTATATAAAAATAAGGTTTTTTTTTTTAATTTTTGTCTATACATTATTAGTCTTATTTATCATAAAACTTATTGCACGTTTAAAGAGCTCTTTAGCTAAAATATCCAATAACACTATTGAACATTTGTAGTAGAGCGTTATCCATAAACACTCGATAAGCCCTCAATAACTAAAATAGGTTTATTGGAAGATTTACGTTTAATCTGAGTTATGTACAATAAAGATTTTTACAATTACAATTACGTTATTATGTTGCAAACTTGTCGAGTTCTACTAACCATAGATAGTCAGCGTAGTCAGCTGTCAAAAATATTATGTGATTTTAATAAAAGTCTTGATAAACACACTACTCCTACTATTTTGTTTTTATAATATAAATTAGAAAATCTAATATTTAAAATTCTAGTTTTGTAATAAAAAAATCATGAAATAGTGTTTGATATCTTTGTTTATCTTGATTTGATAGAGAAAGTTCTTTAGCTTTATGTTTCAGAAACTATAAAAGGAATATAGCCTCTCTAGTTTCACACGTAATTCAACGCCGAATTCTTGCGCCCAGAATTTTATCGGATCGGTATCATAAAATGGCGTAACACAATGGCGGGCGAAACTTCCGTGTGGGGGGGCGCTTACAATGCGTTCTCGCATCCGTCTCTAAGGGAAATGCATTGTCCCGAGACTCGGTCCACGCTCGTTCTACTTCCATTCCATTTGCAAAGTCCGCTGATGCGTCCGCTGTCCGTCAGTTTATGACTACTCCATTTCCTTCATTAAACAGCATTGTTTTGTCTCGATACGGATGCTTTTATGTAAAGCTGGTGTACTGCACGTTTGCTCTATTATTATTATTTTAATAAAAAGATTGTTAATAATTTCATTTATTTAATGGAAACACGTGCCAACTTTGATGTATTCAATTCATTACTGTACTCTAATTATATGCTCACGTATTTGATTAAACCAGGTATGAAATTTCGATAATTGTGCTTTCTGATGAAACACAATTATCGCTCGTAAATGAGCCAATTTATTAATCTTAATTAATTATTTTTCTTTAATATGAGTCGGCATGAGTTAAACTTCCTTAATATTTCATGTAATCTGTTAGGTATTATTGTTATATATATTGAGTTCAGTAAAGCAGTAAGAACGCCTACGTAAATGTGAAGCTTGGATTTATTTAATTTATGTTTATTTTCACGACATAATAATTGTAATGTATGAACAACCAATGCCAATATAAAATGCAAGAATTGTTGAATTAAGGCATTGTTCAGTAGTTCTTTTATTAGTTCATCAAGAGCATTCATTGTATTGAAACTTTCCGACATATTGCAACGTCAGAATCAATTAAAAAATAATTAAACAATTTTTTAATATTTCTGATTGATTAATGAAAACAAAAAAAAACTTTTAAAGTGTTTTTTGTTTAAGTTACAAGTAAACTCAATATTTTGATACGAAAAAAGAACCTACATTAACCGATGTTTTGTAGATTTTTTTTATACAACTTAGAATAGCACTGTGATATACCCATGATAGCCCATGATACCTCCCATGCGTTGCCATTTCTGAGGACTCAGGTGTTATTCCTCTATACCCAGTAAATTCACGCCATATCCCACCCTTCAAACCGAAACACAGCCATACAAGCACAACTGCTTCACGGTTGTAACACGAATGGAACAGAGGTACCCAAGCAATCGACTTTTGTACTAAGTCTCCCTCTGGTAGTGAGTGAAATGAGGTCAATAGGCCCATCATGACGAAGTAATAAGAAAATATTGTTGTATTTGTGGTGGTAGATATCCACACCCTATATAAACTTTAAATATATAATTGCGGGTTTATGTGTAGATTTTTCTAAGCAAAAATTAGTAATTTTATTTTATAAAACTAAACGTTAACTTGAATTGTTACAAAATTGATATGGTCGTATATTAACAGCAAATCTTATTAATTGCAAGAAGAATAAGGAAAATCAGTTCAAAACTGATTACGTCAATACGTAATATAGTAGTTAATAATAATTTAAAAATATTTTAATATTTTAACAATAAATATTTAATTACCATTGAATTTTATTAATCATATTTTTGGTTATTATTTCCAGCTGGCGGTTTGGTGTATCGATGTTTGGATATACCCTACTTCCCCCTATCACAATATGCCCCGGATCCGAGTGATTCTACGAATGCAATACCATGTAAGTGTAAATCTGATACTCATATTTTTTAATATCTTTAAAATAACAAAGAAATTAGCTAATACCTCTGAACTTAAATAAATAGCCAAATTTATGTGATTTGGTAAAAGTTTCCTCTCAAAAATATTCAAGACGTAGGAATGATGCGTATATCTGTTTGATTAATAGAATAAAAAAGAAATATCGGCAAATACCTATATACATATATCACACCACAGGTATCCATGGTATACAAATAACTGTTTACTATGCTAGAGGCCGTACGCTTTTTTGTTACTGTTATAACATAAAAACATAGTTTTTTTTTTATAATTATATTATACGCCAGTCATTTTACTGATTTAAATATCGACCAATAGATAGTCAGATTAGAAATTTGTATCTCTGAGCGTTAATTTCAAATTTGGAACTCAGTGTGGAAGAAAATTGCAAATTTAGAACTCAGTGTGAAGGCAAATTAGAAATTTCAAATCCAATGTAGAAGTAAATTACAAATTTTAACCCGGCAATCTGATTGCTAAGTTTTATGCTTAGATTATATAGATCGATTGTTTCCATACAAATGCTTCAATAAAAGTGAGTAAATTTTTTCATACAATTTTGCGTGATAAATAGTTATGAGAATTTCTTTTACAACTTCTATATTTAATTTGTTCTACAATTTTTACATTTATTAAATAATTAAATATAGATACGCCAAAGTACATTATGCTCGTTAGTATATAGAACATTGATAAAAAAACGAGTTAGTTAATTTGACAAAAAGTTGACCCGTTTTTGAAACTCGATACTCTATTATCTAAGGTTTTATGGTAATCGGAATCTGTACTTTACGAAACATGGACTAAATACAAAACTTTTTTTTTATACAACTTATTTTATAATTAATAACTTTACGTAAGAATAGAAATTACTGAAATAATATTTCAAAGATTTCTTTCGTTAAGTGGATTTGAATTTAATAAATAAAATCGCTGGTGGATGGTGACTTCAAAATTATTGCGGAATGTCAGTAAATAGTGTGACGGTGGTAGACTATTCCCTATCACGACATCTATGGAAATAGGGGTGGCCCAAACTATGCCGGAACCATACAGCACCTACCTCGAAAAATACTTCGTGACTATTCTATTAGAGATTATAGTCGTGTTTATATTAAACATAATTCTTGTCATCAATTTCAGATGTGGTAACCAGATCAGCGGCTCCCTTACTACTGGCAGTGTTTACACAAGCTGTTGGTGCACTTTGCTGTGTGCTAGGACACTGTGTAAAAGGTCGTCGACTATGTACTTTCATCGCCGGCGTACTGTTCATTATTTCTGGTAAGTTGTTAATAAAACATGATTCATAAACTAATAACAGAGAAATCAGTGCAATAAGAAAGAAAAGCAAAAATAAAAAGAGAGATGTTAAGCAAAAGATGGAAAAAATAGTACTTACTACACAAAGGTGGCACTTTAAAATAAAAATTTCTTACTGTACCTATGTAAATGTTTCTCAGGTTACTAACTAAACTAACCTTTGAAAACATAAAGAAACGGTCACACAATAAAAATTTTATACAAAATTTTGAGATTAGGGTTGAAATTTTAAGACTCTCATAACCCCTTTAATGTATGAAAGTTCGGACTTTTGATGTATCGGTCAAATAATAGTACGAGTATACGTTATTTGATATAACGTAATGAACCCACTCAATTATAGTATTAAAGGAAACATATTATTGTGCATAAATTAAAATAAAATTTAAATGATTTGACTTCTGTATAGTAATTTCATAGATGGAGATGGAGGATTAGCTAGCTACTGCCCATAGTACTAAGATAATTCAGGATTTTGTTTAGTAACAAACTGGATAAGGATATAAATCTTTCCAATTGCTAAAAATATGATCCATATCTTTTTATATTTAGTAAAGATATTGTGTAATATGCTTACGAAAATATAGAAACAGTCTAATTGAAACGTGAATTGTCTATAAATTATGCAAATCTCTAAATTGATGGTGATGGTGATAATATAAAGATTAATTTATATTTTTTCAGGTCTCATTATGCTGACTGGAATTGTCATGTACATATCGGTATTTAAGTCGCAAGTGGGTCACAAATTACGATACATGACTATCTTCGATACTCCGCGGATGTCTTACAGTTATGGATATTCTTTTGGTCTATATATTAGTGGTTTTGTGGCCGTCGAGCTAGCAGGCACGTCTGCCATATTCCTCTTCCTGCAATGGTATCAAAAAGACTGGATAACAGAATTAACAGAGAAGGCCAAAGCAGATTGTCGTATCTGGGACAGAGAATATGCATTCTCGGACTTCAGAGAACGAGATTCTACGTTATTAGAAAGAAGAATGATGAAGAGAGACACATACCCGCCTACAGGTTCATCCGCAGCCACGCCACGAGAACGGAGACGATTTGTATACGACGGAGATGATCTACCGCATTGTTCTATACATAAAAACAGAAGAATAAATTTAAGTTCTGCATCTTTAAAAGATTTGTCGTCGTCAACGCTGTACGGTTTTCCTGCAGCACCAAGGCCAACAGCCTGCGATAATTACTTTGAGGAATTTAAAGAGGTTCCGCAAAGCGCGAACACTTTAAGTGGGCTAAGGAGCGCCTCAATATTTCAATCCCAAGCGTCGGTAGCTAGCGGCAGATTCTTGGATTCAACGGCTGTGGAACCACCGCCTTCACGGGAAGAAGAGTTGGTGACATTCGGAGCAGGAGCGCGTGGCGCAGCTGCTGAAGAAGAACAGCCTCCGAGGCACGATCGTGCAGTTGGTACGGACCCTTACCGCAGGACCACTCCCGTCTGATCTAAGATACCGGGTACCTTGCCCCCAGTTTAAAGCATATCGAGAAGTGATAAATGACGATGCTGTTTCACGTACTATTTATACCTAGGCATATGACAATTGTACGTAGGTAGGTACGGGTAACTATTAAGAAGTGTCTTTCGAATTTATGAACGTACATACGTGAATTGTGTTATGGAATTTTTAATTGTTACATTTCCTTGAATAAACACTGCCATTTGTCTAAATTCTATTATTTTATTAGTTTTAAGTAATAGTATTAATATTAGATAAAATAGTTACGAAAATTTTTATATTTACCTAGTTTCAACTCTTAATTTTTTTTAAAACAATTCTTTTTGATGATGACTTATTTAAAATGAAAATAAATATTTTTTTTATTCAAGTTCAAATATGCCTTTACTAGGTCACTTTGTAAATATGCATCTGTAAAATGCTAAAAAATGAGAGATCGTATAAATATATATTCCTTTTTTATTTTATACTTAACATTGTTTTATAATCCATAGAAATAATTTTTGTATTTTTTTTATAATAGCTCTACATAATTATGATTCGGTTTACAATACATGAACAAGATCTACTTATAAACTAGTTACTATTTCGTCTTCTCCATATAGTCATAACTGAGGGTAATTATGAAATATAGCCTACGCTACTATTTCTTTTCAAGAGGCACGATTTTGTGTTTTATGGATGGACCCTTGTAATATAGCTATAGTTACCTCCTTATTATTTAGAGCTAAAGAAATTCAATTTATTAGAACCTACATGATTAGGACATTACAGAAATACCCAAACTATTTGATTCTCTAATAATACTGGCAGGCAATAAAAATACATTATTAAAAATGATTCCAATTTTAAAATTGTTCACATCATGACACTGAAGAATTAGTCACTCATATTCTGCAAATATAGGATTTTTTATTTTATGAAAATGAGTAAACACTGAGAAATTAAGAAATCGTTCAATATGGGAGGGTAAGTAGTTCTTGTTTCTAATTTATTATTCTTTAGTATATAAGCTTCCAGACAGTGATAAACCAAAGCCTCATCTATATTTTGAAACTGTTGTTTCAATAAATGTAATTTAATGTCTTACAATATTTAAATATAATTAATATATTAGGTATTATATTAATTATTTAATAACTAATTTTATAATTTGTTACTGGAATAAAATTTGTTACTTTCTGATAGTGTAACTTTTTTCTATAAGTACAAGTATTTTTAAAATTAGTTCATCTATTACAAAAACAAATGAAATTTTTTCCTCTTTATAATATTATTACTTTAAGCAAAGATAGATTTATATTTGATTTAATGTAATAGTAGTGAACATTTTTTTAATAACAATATTTTGTTTTGATTTCAGGCTTTGGTCTTTTTTGTAAGTACTCTAATACATTTTCATACCTTCATTCTACCAGGAAGCAAAGAAATTAAAAATACTTGTCATTGTAAAATATTCATTATAATGAAAAACTGAAATACATTACAATATTTAACACATATCCATTTCAGGATCACTACTACGTAATGATAGCCATTAATTCTTTTTTATTGCTTGTGAGGCAAACGAGGTGACGGTACCTGATGGAAAGTATTTGTCGTCGCCCATAAACATTCAATTATTGTCCAATAGTAAACATTTCTTTTTAGTTTATATTGACACAAACAACCATCTTTTAATACCTACATGTCCTGAAATATCCCGGAGAACTGAGAGATGCAGACTTAAGTTCTATCCTCTTAAGCTATTGAGCGGTTGCAAATTTAAAATTGTTTTAGATAATTCGTGGATAGTCGTATCATAGCTTGGTCGATTAAAATTACTTTGTTCAATTCTGCTACTATAAATAATTCATTACTTATTACGTATATATATTACGTTAATACAGACTTCCACAAAATATCATCTAGTTCAATTAAATGTGTCATATTCTATTATTAGTCAACGGAAAGACCCCAAAACTCCGGTGAAAGGCCTCCAACACCGTATTAAGAATATTGCAATCAATAATTTTAGAGGTTTACTCGGATTCTTCATACCATTGTTTGCATTGAGCTGGCAAGGAGAGAGATTAAAGGTAAATAGTAACTTCGTTTTATACCTTCGCCTACTTTTTTTTCTTACTGAAGATGCAATAACTTTTGCAGTATATTCTACTATGTATCCATGATTGTGTGTGTTGATCTACTATGTATCATGTGTTTGCGTCCATAGGCGGTGAATATCTCTTTGTATTAACTTTAGTTAGTTTTCCATTTAAAATTAGATAGAGTTGACTCTCTACCTACGAAAGATCTATCGGTATACTGAAAAATATATATATTATTTTTATATTTTTATTATAATAATAATAACCTACAATTTTCTTAGTGATTGTGTAATAATAATTTACAAATTTATAGTATTATTGTGTACTAGTTTATTTATTACACATATTTTTAGTTTGGTTAATTTAGTGATATAACAATTTAACTTATGACCTAATTTTTCGCAAATTCGATTTCTGTACAATACAGACATTTTTGTTTTAATAGGGTATTAATTTTCTTTATATAATAGTAAAAAGAAAGAATATAAGTTGTAAAATTCATATATTTTTATGTAAAAAATGAGTAAGTAGCATAATTTAAATAACATAATACAAGCTCTGCTCCGTTTGGGACTATATGATGTATACAATATGCCCAAGAGTTAATTTATTTATTATTATTATTAGTTGATGCGACAAGAAGTTCAATTTTACATTTACATCACTTAAGTTGCTACCAATACACAACATTAAATAATTTAGGATTATAATCTACAAAAAAAAATGGGCCTCAATTATGGAAAAATCTGTTATGTTGATTAAAAAACTAAAGTATTGAATCGATTTTAATAAAATGTCTATGACTACTCTGAAAGTATATTCTTTCATATAAAATAAACATTTCTATATTGGTTTATAACTTTTTTTAAGAATAATAATGGAATAGTAATCCTGCCTTCGCTAACGGTATACTCTGTCGAGCACACCAGTAAGGGACGATAGCTGAGAATGAAAAGACAGGTCAGTTAGTCCATGGTGATGAATACATCTGGAATTCAGCACGATGGTTTTCAGGTGGGACCACATAGAAGTCGTCCTAACTGCATATATTGCTAGCAATGCGAGTAGTATTCTGAATTACTAACAATTCCACCCCACAATTGGTTTACGACTCTCAAAGTTATGAGGTAACAGACAAAAAATACCTCCGAATTGAGAAGCTTCTTACTGTTTGAAGTAGTTTGAAAATACCATTAAATATACGAATTTGTATTTCAGCATGACATAACAGTACAGTGTATATGGATATGGATGTTTTGTTTTTTTTTACTGCAACCAGTTGCAGTTCAAGTCACTGGTATTATTCCTATCTTCATACTGCCAATGGCCGGAGTATTGTCTACCAGCAATACCTGCGCTTGTTACTTTAATGTAAGGTTTTATTAGTTATATTTTGAAAGAATAAGAAAAATAATATGTATAGAATAATTATAGCTCTGGCATGTACTAACTGTACATAGTAGAGCTATATACAGAGCTAGGCTTACATAAAGGCTTATAAAATCAGTAAGGCTGCTTAAGAGTAAGTATAATTGATACAAATATAAAAACACACCCACAGTAATTATTGTATAATTTAAAGGTTTTTATTAGCAAGTTTGTAACAATTAAGGTATGAGATCTTAAATTAAAAAGTGTAATGTAGTGTAGTGTAGTCTCGAATAAAAATAAGCATTGTTGATCTTACTAGGGATATCAGTATTAACATACAACGGTAGAGGTATGGCAGAGGCTACATAGTGAAGTGTCATTGATTTATGACCTTGCAGTTCTACTACAGTCAAGTAGAAAGCCATTTTCGTACATATTTTATCCAAGCAATAAATCATATATATCATTAAAAGTTACGTTGTCGTGACTGGAATTAGAGAATGAGGGGGTTTTCGAAAAGGGTATATTAAGGTTTGTTCAGGGTCGGCAATGCGCACGTGATACCCCTAGTATTGCAGGTGTCCATAGGTTACAATAATCGTTTACTATCAGATGAGCAGTACCCTTATTTGCCACCTTCGTGGTTTAAAAAAAAATATAGATATTTCCTTTTATTCTCATCTATGTTTATATTCTAGGATTCTATGGCATTATTTATTTTAAGCGGAATGTTACTATTGTTGCTAAATAACTCCGGATTTGATCGCCGTATAGCTTTATGGTTATTATCATCAGGAGATACTTGCCAGTTTTCTGGTAAAAGGTAAGATTAGTCATATTGGATAAATTAAAGGTAAAACTATCATACTGAGAAGAAAATTCATTAAGGAGAGGGAATTGAAAAGGGAGAAAGGAATTGTTGGTTGGTCTATCAGCCCCATTTCTAGCAACATACCTTATCAGGTCGACTTCCACGCGGTTCCCCTTGAAAACCATCGTGGTTAATTCTTATTCAATTCGTCACGATTAGCTAACTGACCTGCAATTATCCTCACCTATCATTAATTACTGGTGCATACTGTATACTGATAGCGTAGATGGGGTTACCATTCCATTATCATCCAAAAAAAAAACTATCATACTAGATATAACTCACAGCCTTGTCCGAATGGATTAAAATAGTAAGTGGATATTTCTGTCCCACTCGTGATTTTGTCGTCAAACACTTGTTTGCATGACTGTTTTGGTTTGAAGAATCGGTAATGTGTATAACTCTTCAAACTAAATATACAGGAACATAACATCTTAGTTGCCAGAAATGGCATCATATGAGAGATACAATGAAAATTACAGTATGTTCTCTAATATCCCTGGAGGTATTTATATTTGAAAGCGACGTTTCCCTCGTTTATGATAAATGTCGCATAAAAAAATTTAATATCATTAATGTAATTTTTTTCAGACTTGTATTCAAATGCAGCACAGCAGCCTTCTTTCTATCAATGTTTAGTAACAGACTGTTAGTTACATCTACCCTGACAGAGTACATGACCTCTGCATTGACAGATTTACAGGTAAAATCCATAATTTACATATGAGGTAAACGCTTAGGTAGGGTTTTATTTCGAGTTTTATTTCTTTTCTTGGTGATCAAAATAGTTCATAATTAGCAGACATATGTTTCTTATATCATCATTCTGTCCTATTCGTGTTACAACCGTGGAGCAGTTGTGTTTGCATGGTTGTGTTTCGGTTTGAAGGGTGGGATATGGCAGTGAATTTACAGGGAACAAAGGCATAACATCTTAGTCCTCAGAAATGGCAACGCATGGGGTATTATGGGCGAAACAGTATACATTGTTATGTCCATGGTACTGCTCATGTCTATAGGCGACGGTTACCACTTTCCATCAGGTGGGTCGTCAGCTTGTTTGCCATTCTAAGTTGCATAAAAATTATTTCTTAGAATATTGATTTTACAGATTCTTTTTTTATTATAAAGTACAAATTCGCCTTATCATGTATATAACTATTTAGATGTGTAGGTATATGTTATCAATATTACATCAATTAAAAAAAGCAAATTATAAAGAGCAAAGAAAAATCAAATAAATATCGTTTATCGATATGTTCACCACTAAAGGGAGATGTGTACTTTTTATTTAAATAATTATTAATTACAGAGTGCAACATCTAAATATAGAAGCACAGAGCCGGATTATGACGAAATGAGATATATAATCAATAATGCCATACAAACAGCCTCAGGAATAGGTAATTCAGACCTTAGATTTTATTGATTCCTCCAAAAGATTACAGTAGTTGCAAGATATGATTACAGTGAGAAAAAATATTTTTTAAGTGTTACAAGTAATTAGATTAATAATTTCTCAGATTTTTTTTTTTGTAGTTGAAATAGGAACTGTTTCTTGTGATGTATACTATATACTATAATGCGATATATGCATCCGGTGCCAGCGTAGAATAGGCCCCCCTACCATTCCCGAAGGTATTATAAGAGGCGATCTTAAATTATAATGATAAAGCATCGAGCCTCAACAAAGGGTAAATTTTTTCAACTAATTGAAAAATTTGCTGACTTGCTTTTTTTATATACCTACGCACACAATGTCTTCTGACGTATCTATAATTATTTAATAAATAATAAATAAAATGAGTTTTTGCGCATTAAAAAGAAGCAGAATTTATAAGACAAATATAAAAGTTATATAGAAATCACTCATATATATTAATCACGCAAAATTGTAATAAAATGCTGACCCGCTTTTCTCAAACAATTTGCATGGAGACACTCTATCTATAAAATTTAAGGAGGCGACTAAAGGAACTTAATTGTTAAGGGATGGGCAGCAGCGTACCTCTTAAAACATCATCAAAGCCTAGCTGCCCAACCCGCATGCCAAGCGAGGTATATATAAATAATTAGTAAATACACTTTCCACTTTTCATTATTGTATTATAAAAAAAAACTGAATAATTAGTAATAATTGTAAAAATTATTTCTAGGTAGTATTGCTATTATACATGCAACCTATTCTGGACTTGCTTTTAAAGGTATTTGGTCAGAGTAAGTACGAGCATTTGATTTGAAAGCTAAAAAGATCTAGAAAAATTTAAAAACTAATTTTGTTTATATTGATAATAAAATGTAATATAATTAAAGATTGTGTTCCATAAAAAACCGGCTTGAATTATGAAAATGAGTAGTTATTTTTATCTACTGAATCGATTTTGATAAAATTTCTGCAGGACCAATCTGTAAGTATCTTTTCAGATAAAAAAAAATATTTTCTAACTTGGTTTAAAACTAACGGAATTATGAGGTAACAAACTTTAAAACAATATAACTGAACTGAGAACTTCTTCCTTTTTGAAGTTGGTTGAAAATATGTAATGATACCAATTTATACTGTGGCAATAAAAACATATGAATATAATAATACGAAAATTGTACAATGTATATTGTACTTCACTATTTTAATAGGTATTTAAATTTAATAAAATGTAAAAAAAACCTATGAAAAACTAATTAGTTTTTTTTATTTTTATTTAGGAGTCCTCCAGAAGGGTCTGAATATCCAGATATATTCAATTATCTACAATATTCGCTATTTGCCTTTCCCGTTGCATTCATTATGTATGTGTTAAATTTTTCTTACCACATGCTGCTCATTAACTGGTAAGAACATCTTGCATCTTTAATTAAATATCAATGTCACATTGAGATGGTATTAATTATATATTTTTTAATATTAAAGGTTTGTTAAAAAACCCATGAGTGCTAGCAGTATGGCTGAAATGCAAAAATCCATTTTAAAACACAAAGAAGCTATACCTCCCCAACTTACTCTGCATGAGAAGGTAAATATCGAAACTATTTTTTGGAGTAAGTTTATTAAATTAAATTAATTTTTCAAAAAATATTTGAAATTAGCTTAGATCTAACTATTCTGGGCAACAATAGTTGCTTATCCGGTTTTCCATAATATAGCTTGAGAACCGGGCGACTGAGGTCACATTTGAACTTGGTATATGTTATTTTGTGTAATTGTACACTACATCTTTTCCCTTGCAAGATATCTTGATGGGCGATTAGGGGAGAAAATCACACTAGATCAGTGTAAAAAATATCACAGTTTTTCACAGTTGTGTTGTCATTTAAAATTCGTGTTATTTTTTCAGCTTACTGTAGTTTTTAAAATCGTTGTACTTCTTGTATTTTTTCTCCGATGGTACAAGTTTAGTAATATGGGATGGGCTAATTTTAATGCAAACCCTACTACTCCGCCTATACCTAAGTGAGTATAATGTAAACAAACTGTTTATTGTCTTTGTGGTTACTAAAAATATTACGTATTATCATTAATAATAATAATAGTTAAAATCCATACCCCTTTATCTCAAAAATCCATATAGTGTAAATGAAATTCGATTCCTTGGAAGAATGTCTTTTCATAGCTTATTTTTAATGATAGAATTTACTATACTATTCACAAAAATTTTCATTATAAGGGTTGTTGTTGTTGTTGTTGAGTTAATTAAAACTTAGACACATTTCAATTACTACATTAATATTTATGATAGAAAATGTAGATAAGCTCGGTCGTCTGTTATGTTCGATTCTAATATGCCAAATTATATGCTTACCTATATCGACTAGTTAAGTTCGTTACACTCACCTTTTCTAACCACTCAATTAGGGGTATGTCGCATATTTATTTCATATTATTAATATTTATTATAATAATTACCATTTTTTATTCGAATTAACTAAATTAACAATCTTATAACTTGTCATGTTTACTTTTTTTTTAATATAATATTAATATTCTTATTATTGTACAGAGTCAAGGATGCTACTGTAGCTGCATTATTTGTGCTTTTACTCCACATTTTACCAAAGGGATTTGGATTTATGAAGTATATTTCAGCAGAAAGTGAGTATTTTCGTTATTATATATGTTTGTTTACTTTCATGAGGATAAAATAATAAAATCACTTTCGATTAAAAAAAAAAATTAAAAACCATTTAAATAAATAATATATTCGATTAATTATATATATATATATATATATATATATATATATATATATATATATATATATATATATATATATATATATATATATATATATATATATATATATATATATATATATATATATATAATTTTTCTTGCAGAGAAAAGTGAGCTACCTCCTTTAAAACCGGAATCGGCAATTCTTTGGTGGCGCTTTGTAGATAAAAATACCAATTACGGATATTTGTTTTTATTAGGTAAATTTTTCGAAATATATCATTTATATTATATTTATAACCGTGATACAGTATTACTACTATGGCGGGTAGAAGAAAGTCCTCAGCACTAATATTTATCTACCTAGAATTATCTTGTTTGTTGTGGGTACTGTAAACTATTTTAACTTATTGTAGTAATTGTAAATACTAAACCTTTGTTCATGTATAAATGAATAAGCATTTTATAAATTTATTTATTATTTCTTTATGTATATTTATTACTTTTATTTATTTATATATATATTTTCTTTTTTAATTTTAAATGGCTTAAACGTAATATTTTAGGCGCTGGTGTAGCACTGTATGCCGCTGCGAAAGAGACTGAATTATGCAAAACTATAGGAGAACATTTAGGCAAACAATTTACTGACCATAATTGGAATACTTCTTTGTTCCTCGTATGTCTCGTTACAGTTATACTGAGCAATGTAATGACAAGCACAGCAGTTGTAGTTGTTTTCTTACCATTTGTTTTATGTATGGTACGTAAAAACTATGATTACTCTAGATTACAATTTCTTAGAATTTTGCGAGATAAATAAACTGATTTATTTTTTTCTCAAATTTGCGGAAAACCTGCGCCGTGAAAATATGCCGTACGACATAAAAAAATATTTACAAGTTTTTTTTTTCGAGCTGTACTTGCTGTTGCGGCAGATGGCCTTTACAGCTTCAATGGGTGCAGGCAGATGCGAGTGCAGAAGGTACTCCAACTCCACGAGAGGGGAGCGACGAAGTGTCCAATCTTACCGATAAATTGCAAGAGTTCAAATAAATTTAATTTATATAAGACGAGAGGATCGATCACACTGATGAACCTTTGAGTATCTTTATACCTTCCAACGGATTGTTTGCTTTGATAAGTGTGGATATTTTTTTTCATGCTATGTTTGTTTTACGTTTTTTTTTCAGGCACTAGAAGGTCAAGTACCGTGGCCGACTAAATCCTATTTAGGTGCACTTGCTGTAGGTATTGGATCCTCGTTTGGATTTATGTCACCTTTCTTGTACACACCTGCATATTTATGCCATAACACTGGAAAAGTTCCCATGTTAAAAATGGTAAGTATCAGTTACAATAATTATAACATTTTTCTTTTATTTAAATCTAAAAACGCTTTGATCATTCAGAAATAAATAATACACTATATCCCTTGTTTTGTTTGTGAAATATTATTAAAGGATAAAATAGTTGTTCCAGAAAATGTTTAGGCATAAATTTTCATTTTACTCTACGGAATTATTTTATACTATCGGTGTAATACGTTTACAATACTTCCTCACTATTAACTTACAAACAGGTAGTTAAAATTACAAAATCATAATTATCAATCTCCAAGGAAACGGGGTCAACAAAAAAATAAATGCTATCGGATTTACAAGAATTATCATGTTATTTCATAAGTGACTAAAATGTTGTGTGACATACATACGAAAAATAGAACAAAATTAAGTTTTTTTAATTTTTACATACAATCTGTATGCAAAATATAATCTTTTTAGGATATAGATATTCATGAATCTTTACAAGAATGATTACTAGAATTTTTTATATGAAAACGGAGAACCCGAGTCCCGAGAACAGGACTTGAATAAATAAAAATAGTATTTTTTGCCATTATAATATAATAATACTTTAATATTTATATAAATATATTAATATTTTACTACATTCACATTTTTTTCTTTCAGGCAAAATATTCTTTTTTAAGTTCAGTAATATGTCTTATTATATTATGGTTGGCCCTTGTATATTGGGGACCATTTTTATGGGATCCCGAAGACGCTGGCATCCAATCTATAGCAATATCTGGTGCAGAGGGAGAAGGAGGAGGAAAAGGAGGGGGAGAAGGAGGGGCAGAAGGAGGGGGAGAAGGAGGGGCAGAAGGGGGAGGTTAATTAAATGGTACAAAATATCGAAGACCATATAGTATGGACAAGTATATTTATGTCTAATATTTTTTTGTATAAACCAATTATTTACCATTCAATAACTTTATCAGCATGTTATTTCAATTGTAATCTGGTAAAAACAGTAAAGTGTGGTTTATTTATTTTAATATACATATGTTCATTTATTTAAAACGTTAATACTTTTGTTTTGATATTAGGTTGCTTGTGGGAATAGGATTACATATTTTTTTATTTATTAACTAGCTGACCCCGCGAACTTTGTACCGCCTTGGTGATTCTTTAATTTTTATTTTTTTTTAATACTTATTCTGTTATTTGGGACGCCGGGTCAGTTAGTAAGATAAAAAAAGAAAAAGTTAATAAGTCAATAATTAAATTATATCAACAAATAAAAATTATAAAACACGCCGTATATTCCATGTAGTTATTCCTCGGTCTTCCTCTTCCACATTTACCCTCTATTTTTCCCTCTACTATGCTCTTAAAAAAATCGTCATGTCGTATAAGGTGGCCCAGCATTTTGCCTCTTCTATTCTCTATTATTTTAATAAATGTTCTTTTCTCGTTCACTCTTTTCAGGACTTCCTCATTCGTTAGTTTTTCTGTCCAGCTTATCCTTTCCATTTTCCTCCATGTCCACATTTGGAATGAAGAATAAATAATAAATAACAATAATATTAGACATATACATATTACAGTACTTTAGTCTCAAATTAAGCAGACTTTATGCACGATGACAGCTAATAGGAATAAAATATTTATGATACATGTTATAGGTAACTCAAGAAAATATTAACATTACAAATACTAAAAGATTTCATTGTTCATTTTTAGTTTGCAACACCGGTTTGTATATTAATAAATCTTTTAATTTCATTAGGAATCTATTAACGTCCCATTGCATTAGTCTCTTCTATAAGAGGGGGATATAGCTTACTAGCTTTTACCTACAACTTCATTAATGTGATCGAGATATGTTTACTGACTGGGATAAAAAATTGCCTATAATCTTCTCCATTCCATATATAAATTTCAAATTGAATGGTTAGTCCATTAAGGCACTATAAGGTAACTTTCACATTTGTAATATTAGTAAAAATTACCACTACACAGGCGGTTTGGTATAATTTTTCAAGTTTTTCTTCTTTTGTACTGGTTTATTTTTTTTTTTTTCGTTATAATATAATATGTAAAATATAATATTTTTTAATTTGATCAATTTGTTTGATAATAATAATAAAGAATATAAGGAAGAATGTAATATGAAAAACCTTTTAGTTGTAATAACAAGGTCCTCGTCTTGTTTGTTCTTCTTATGAGCGTTTGTTTTTTTCTCAATAAAAAAAACTATCATTTATTATAATTGTTTTCTCTTTTGTTTTATTATTTATTTTAGATACGTAGACGGATATGTAATTAAGGACTATATACTTTATTCGACTATCAACAGCATTCAAATTGAGATGATCAATTATTGTTAATATCGTATCGTATTTCGTATTATATGTCTTAAATAGTTTTGAAACGAAATTAAGTCCTGCTAAAACGATGACTTATTTTTATTTCATTTTAATAAATATCAATGCGTAAACAAATCCCTATAATAATTTAATTACCAGGGCTAAAATTTTGGAAGAAGAGCAAGAAAAAATAGGTTTGGATAACTAGAGATACATATGTATGGAATGCCTGTACATCGTATGAACATGCTAAACTATAATGTTAGAATTGTTCTAATTGTTACTATGTGTAATGATTGACTTTTAAATATTCAATCCAAAGTTCTTAGTATGTTAGGTGATTACAAAAAATGAAAAAGGCATTCAACAATATGTAATATTATTATTAACAAGTAAATAAATAAAATATTAGTTTTAAGTGTTTTTGTTTATTTTGTTCTAGATATGTGTGAGGAAGCACATTAAAATTTGCAATATGCAAATATTGCGAATTTCAATTTTGTAATGGTTATAGAACAAATAAAAAATGTGAATTATATCGAGTACGTTATACTAGTCTATACTTTATAGCGTATTCCTTTCCCTTCGTTTCCCTATATAACTCATCGTCATCGTAGATTTGTTATAACGTACTTACGTACTATTTGTAAATAAGGCTTAGTCCAATCATCATTGCTTAGGTCATGTTTTACTAGTTTCTGCCAATTTTTTACCTGTCGAAGCAGTAAATTCTCATAAGTAGTATAAGTAGTACATCATAAATGTGATTAACAATCCTGTAATAATTACTTTCATTGAAGCATATTCTTGTTCATAGTTTAGGAAAGAGAAACAACTTGATAACTTGATCCACATGTGTTTATAACAATTCATTAAGGAGTGTTATAGAAGGAGAAGCGAATATTAATAGTAGTCCAGCTGCTTTGTTGCTAGCATTATATCTTATTAGGTCGACCTCTACGCGATCTCCCCCCCCCCCCAATTCCTACTCCCAGGAATCCATTATGGTTAATTTTTGATGAATTTATCTAGAAAGGCTAACTGTCGTGACAAATTCATTAACAGTTCCTTACTGATATTCCCCAACGTAAACCAATAGCATAGGTGAAGTGCCATTCGATTGTTATCCATTTACTAAAAACAAGTAATGCAGCCGTGGATTGGCCTTCGTATGGTAGCAAAAAGGAAATTAGTATATCTTACAATATGGATAGCTCACTGTTGCAAGACATTAACATCACTCGCAGATGTCTGAAATAAATAGCTGATTAAATATAAGAAAATAAAGGTAAATTTACATTTGGAACGGTAAAGAAGATATAGTTTGAGATGTTAAAAATGATGTTGATATCAGCCACTGCTGGATATAGGCCATCCCCTATTGGGGGTTGTGCCAATAGTTATCACGCCTGGCAGGCGGGTTGGTAACTGCAATTAGCTCGACTAGTCAGTTCCCTTAATCGCCTCTTACGACACCTACGGGAAAGGAAGGGATAGCTCATTCTGTATCGTTACCACACAGCAAATAATCTCATTGGGTATACTATTTTTTTAACTATTTATTATAAGCATCGATTTAATGCAACGTACTTATATATTATATAATTATGATCTCCGATTATGAAGTACAAACTTCATCATAAGTATGAGACAGATTATAAAGTATACAACGTCTATGGTATGAGATGTATGCATAGATTGAGGAAAGCATTTATATACTATTTTTTTACATAATCATCGTCATCATCATTTCAACCATTATCACTTCACATAGTCACTTCATCTAGTGGAGTCGTCTTACACTGCGTTTGCCACTCACAGTTTGTACAGAGTCGCCGCTCAAGAACCTTTCTTCTCCATTTTTTTACGCTGCTCAATTATTGAATCTGTACGCAGAAAGAGAATTCTAGGCACTGTCTTTAATCTATAGATATATACAACCATAAAGTAGGTACTTTCTACAACTAATCTATTTCCCTTAATATTTTTTAATTACATTAAATACTACTTTGAGAAAAGTACCTTTAATTATTTTAAATATCTCATTATTCGAATATTCTTTTGAACTCTGACAAAGACTTTTGATAGAAAAATGCTCTAAATGCTCTTGAGATTTCAATTATAATTTTATCTGATTATTGTTCTAAAAACCAGAGGAGGTATTGAATAAAAAAAAAGAGAATTGATGACGAATGAGTGATAAGAAAAGAACTTAGAAATCTATTAAGGACTTAATATAAAAATGCTGTAAGAACAAATTTTGATTATGATTCATTCACCATAAAATATATCAAGGTCATTAAAAGCAGTTCTCTTTTATATACAAGAAGTATTTTCCTTATTCTCTTATGGAAATAGCATATAACAAATATTAGGACAATACGATACATTACAGGTTGATAATGTAGTTTGCTAAAACTAATTAATTCACAATTATGCGAAAAGCTATATTTTAGACAAAGCTATTTACACTATGCTACAGACTCTGTAAAATAGCTAGCATTTTCAGTATATGTATAAAATTTTCCATTTCTGAGTTTATAGACTAATAAATTGAAATGAAATGAAGAAATTTCGAGAGCCGTGTAGGTATAGAATAGGCCATCGCTTGCTTTCCCGTGGGTGTCGTAAGAGGCGACTAGGAAAGCTTATGGTGGAGGATTGGGCGGCAGTGTCCTACTTAAAATATCACCAAAAGCCGAATTGCGGTTGTCGAGCGTGGCAACTACTGTCAAAATCCCCCTATAAGAGAGGCTCAGCCATGTTCAGCGGTTGACAGTTAACAGCTGATAAAACAAATGAAGAGATTTGTAAAGCAGAATAATAATGTCTTATTACTATGCTAGGTAGACGTCCCGCTAATGGATTTTATTTCAAGTTTTCCTTCTCTAGTACCGATTTGTCTCATTCTCTTCCATTTCTAACGTTATCCTGAAAATAAAAAGTAACATTGAAAGTATTTTTAGTCCGTCACTAAACGGACTATTAATTATTTTACGATATTTTCAGACGGAAAGAAGAACCCCGTTTGGAAATGTTAGAGAAATTAAAAATATTCCTTATTGTGCATTGGCAAGGAGTTGTATGTTTGTTGACGCCAATTATTATAATTCCAATACTGATACCATTTCCAGGACAAGTAAGTACAATTAAATTAATTATTTTGGATTTGTTGAACCAGAAATATGCTCTTTTAAAAAGTTGTAAGTTACTATAGAGTTAGCAACTATTAAAGATACTCTGTTCTCGCTATATATATAGCATGTGCTGAATTCATATACTGATTTATAAATTGTATAATTAGTGTTTGAAACGTGAAATCTATCTATCAAATCTATCTATAGTATATGTATATTTTATTATTTTAAATAACAAGAAATTAAAATAGTATGACCATTATTTAAGTTAAAATTCAAAATAAAATCTTGGGAATAGAACTTATGGATTGACGAATAATTTTTTTCTAGCCACATCAATGGTGCGCTTACACTCTCATACTGATGGCTACTTATTGGGTGACGGAGTGTATTCCATTGGCAGTCACCTCTTTTCTGCCTGTTCTTATTTTTCCACTCGCTGATGTTATGCCTACCAGTGAAGTGTGCAAGTCCTATATGAACGTTAGTTTATTATATTTATTATTTGAATTATTTGTATAGCTCTTAGTATATTACTACTCTACTATTACTCTACGACGTGGCGATTTATAAGAATTAAGATCGTGAGTTCGAGTCTAGTTGATATCAAACATAGACTACCTCTCCAAGGACAAGCAAACCTAATTATTCGAATAACAATGGTAGGTTCGCCCTCTACCACATTGGATTTAAAGGGATCTGTCGCCTATTTTATAGCATTCATCATAAAGACTAGGTACCTCAGAAGGGATTAGAGTCGTTAACATATATCTTGTATTTTTTTGATAATATATTAAGAGTGTTCTTAGCAAAGTGTTGGCAAGTTCATAATTAATTAAAAACAACTGAACATGTTTCAATGTTTCTAATTGTTTAAGAAGTGCTCTGCTAGCGAACTAAATCTTTAACCATAGAATACGTTTTATAATTATTTTTTTACTAAAAACTTGGCACCTACTTCATATTTTGTTTCGGAATATTTCAAATACATTTTTGCCATTAAAATTCAAATTTTACAAGAATATTATTGCATAATTAATGTTTAGTTCACTAACAGAGATTTTTTTAAATAAATCAGTCAACAACATTAAATGTTTTTGAAATTTAACAGTTAGTATATAGTTATGTTAACATACTTCGGTAAGCTAAAGTTATGAACGTTCTTAACATGATATTAAGTGATAAGAGGTCTACATTTGCTCAATATCTATTCTAGATATTTATTTATTTAGTCTATTCGAATCGTTCTCTATAGTTATTATTAAATATCCCCCAGGATTCAATTGTTATGTTTCTGGGAAGTTTAATTTTGGCGTCTTCTGTGGAACAATCTGGACTTCATAAACGGATGGCATACTTTACCATAAGGATTATTGGATATTCTCATCTTAGGTACGTCATGTTGTAATATAATAATTATATAATAGTAATAATTTGTGTTGAAAATATCTTTATTAGGAGAAAAAAGAGGACTATCTATTAAAATATTGTCCGGTTACTTTGCTTTGTATCAAATAAGATGGATGAGACCAAAATAAACGTAAAAATGATATACCTAACTGTTCAAATAACTGGAAAATCTAGAACATGATTGAGTTTATTTTTGTTTTTGATATCAGATTATTCATAATGTGCAACGCTATTGTACTCATATTGGAGGTTGTTTATTACTTGACGCGTTTTCAAAATATTTATGCCTATATCAATAGAAAAATTTATGAGTTATGGTAGTCTTTTACCATATACTTGGTTACCATCATCATTGTATATAAAGTAGTATAATTTATTGATTGCCAAGTATTAATATTTCTATACGCCATATGGTCTCGGCATAGACTTTATTTCCCATTGGTATCGTTAAAGGCAATTAAGGGAATTTAAAAATCGAGGGATTGACTGCAGCGTCCCTCTTAATACATCATCAAATCCTAACTGCGGTTACCAACACTCTTGCCAAGCATGCCACCTATTGGCAAAATCCACTTAGAGAGGAGTAGGTATATTCAGTAATGGACAGTTAACAGCTAATATGGTAATTTTTGTATTAAATGACAATGGCAATTTTTAATTATTTCTATTAGCTAAATGTTCTTGAAAGATACCTTCAGTAAAATTATACTATACTTATCTCATCATTTAGATTCTGAGATGTAAATGCGAGCACCATGGAGACCGTGAGAGGTGTAATTAATATAAATTTATACTATACTAGCGACTCGTACCGGTTTTGCACAAGTAGTAGTGTATATGCTTACTTTTTTGCATTAGTTGTGATAGTTAGTATGAATAAAAATAAGTATATATCATCACGGAATTTATGTAGACTTAGAAAAGAGAAAAAATCTGATTAGGTAGCGTTTTCGATGAAAGCTCCTAGACTAGCTCCTCCTCCACTTTAGACATTTTCAATAATCCTTATCATATTTTAACCAACTTCTACAAAACCTTAACGAACTGTATCCCTAAACCTTACCCAGGAATAATTCTCTTGACGAATGAAAACCGCATGAAAATCCTTTCACAATTTTTTCTATTATCCCAAACATACAAAAAGACAAACCCTGCGGGGAACTTCATTTTATATTATGTGCTGATCACGTAGCTATATGTATCCCGTTACAGGTTGCTGGGTTCGTTGTGCATTGTAACAACTTTTGTGTCAATGTGGATTACAAACACAGCAGCTACTACGATGATGGTGCCAATTAATTTTGCTCTACTAAAAGTTTTTGACGATGTAAGTATAATTTTATCTTATATAGGAACAAAGCCTATTTACACACTAAACAATTACTTTAATGACAAATATGTATGGCGTTAGTGGATTATACACGGGTGTTTAATGACCATGTAATTTTAGACATAGTACATTTAAATAAATATACATTATGTTAACAGAAATTTTAAAGTGTTGAGTTTCTTGCGGGCGCATCTCAATAGATACCAATTTCTGAACGTGATAGTACTTATAAACAAGTATATTTGAATAAAAATGATTTGAATTTAAGTTTATTCAATCTAATTAGTAAATTTTCATAACTATTCATTAAGACATTACTGATTGTATATATTATCGACTTATATGAATGACTATTGTAGTTAGGATATTTTTAATTACTAACTTAATTTTTTGTATACTCTGATATTAATTATAAATATTTTTGATGCCAGCCTCTAGTGCAACACGCTTGTACTTAAGACAATACTAACGTAATTGCAGTATTTGCCTGCAAATAAATAAATTGTTATTATTAAAAAAAAATTAATAACAAAAAAATGCATATTATATTTGAATAAATAAAATTTTCTTTTTTATTTTGCACGTGATTTTAATTAAAAAATATATAATTGAATACATTTTGCAGCAAAAAATAATAAAAATGTACGAAACGACTGCTGATGGAGATACATTTGCTTCAGATATCACATCCTGTTATTTTTGTGCCACTACTTTTTCTGCGACTGTTGGTTTGTTTTTTTTTTTTCTCTATGTATCTATACTAGTAATATAAGGACTTTTGTTTGATGTTTATTTGTTTGTAATGGAGTATTTAAACTGAGATATGGCAGTGAATTTCCAGGATACAGAGTAACAACAACAACCTGAGTCCTCGAGAATGGCAACGCATGGGAGGTATCATGGACGAAACAGTATACTCTGCTATGTCCAAAATACTGCTCATATCTATAGGTGACGGTTCCCACTTTCCATCAGGTAAGCCGTCAGCTTGTTATTCTAAGTTGCATAAAAAAACTACTCAACCGATTTTAAAAATTCTTTCACACAGAATGGCCTATTCTGAGAAAAAAGAATAAAGTGGGTATCGTAAGTGGCGAATAAGAGAACTTAATAGTTGAGAAATAGATAGTAGCGACTCTCTTAATATATTATTCATACCTAACTGGGTTTGACAACCTGCCTGACAAGCGTGGCAAATATTTGCAAAACCCCCTTAATGTCATTCTATAGAGGAGGCTTATGTTTAGTAATGGATGGTTCACCGCTGATATGAAGATTATCAGCGAGTGACATAGGCATATATATTGTTTTAAAAAAAACTAGAGATTCCTACGATAAAACATTGACCTAATAAGCTAATAGCTAGTATTTTATATCTTCATATCTACCCGTGAGAAGCCGGGCCAGATTCCTAGTTTTATTAATATTATAAAATTGTAACTAGATGAAGTATGCATGTAGAAGATATATGAGGAAATATATGAGGAAGATATATGAAGGAATATGTGGAATCAATAGGTACCAAAACAATATTTTTTATAAATTTTGTCTGTGTCTATCTGTCTGTATTCTGATATCACAGAAAAGCTATTGCACTGTACGAGGTTTGTCCGGAAAGTACGTATAAAAGTTTTTTAAAAATTTTATTTTACAATTATTCAGGTAAATCAATTTTATCCCCTTCAAAGTACTCCCCCTGTGACATAATGCACTTGTGCCAACGCCGTTTCCACTGTGAGAAGGCTCCTTGAAAGTCCTCTGGTTGTAGGTTTCTCAGCTGCCCCGTCGTAGCTTTTTTTATCTCATTTATGTCCCCCAAATGCCGCCCCCGAAGTACCAATTTGGTTTTTGGGAACAAGAAGAAGTCACACGGGGCCAAATCCGGCGAATAGGGGGGGTGTTCGGTCACCGTAATGGAATTTTTACTCAAAAACTCACGGACAACAAGAGAGGTGTGGGCAGGGGCATTGTCGTGGTGAAGAATCCAACGCCCCTCTCGCGCCAATTCTGGACGAACTCGTGCCACACGAGCTTTGAGGCGTCTGAGCACATCGACGTAGAATTTTCCATCAACTGTCTGGCCTGGAGGGACGAATTCTTGATGGACAATCCCCCGAACATCGAACTCTTTCTCGGCCCTCTCTGAATCTTTTCACAGCATCATCCCCATAAACTGTTCTGAGATCGGCAAAAATTTCACGGCCATTCTTGCCGAGTTTCGAGAGAAACTTGATTACGACGCGCTGCTCTTCAACGGAAGCGGGCTCCATGCCGACGGGGTTTCGTTAAGAGGTAACTTCACAGATGGCGTGACAAGCCAGTTCGCACCGCACGGCGGTCAGACCAGAACTGAAGCATTGTTAGGGACATAAGGAAGGGGTCCTGCGCTTACCTGGCCTCCCCACTCCTCTTTCTCGCATTCCAGAACACTTTTATACGAACTTTCCGGACAGACCTCGTATTGGATGCGGGTAATTCACTGTTGTAAATATCCTTTGAAAACAATATTTGGATACACTCATCTAGAAGTGACCTTCACTGGTTTTCTTACTTCTGAAATCCGCACGTACCAAATAACAGGCAAAAAGATAATCATTAATAAAACACTAATAAAAATAAAAATATTCTTAGAACGAATTCTAAAGTTGGTAATAGTATTGTATTATTTCTTCTACGTCATAATACATTCATTAACAAATATTTTACTACGACACTACTATGTATTCTATTTGTTATATCAATAATAATAATAACTACTAAGAACAATGTGATGCGAATTAAATTTTTTGAAATAGTTTTAGAAAAAAATAATTTGCGTAATATTCTTTTATATTTAAAAGGATATGTCGTTTGACGTGTATAGATAGTAATTTATGTTCTTCTATTTCTACTATAAATAGCACGTGTATACCAAGCTTTATGACGAACGACTGAATCGTTAAAAAAACGCTAAAAAGTAACAAAAAGTCGCGTTCACATTAAAGTGTCGCGAATAAAAGCTAGTATCTTAATAATTACGAATTTTTTAAGGACAGTGAAAGAAATATTTAAATAGGTTATTTAAATTATATTAAATACTTAATTATACTCGTATTCTATATTAGCAAACTAACTAGCATAAAACGTCTAAAAAAAATTATATAAATTCGCAGGTGGCATAGGCACTCTTGTTGGTACTGCTACAAATTTAGTATTCAAAGGACTATTTCAAAAGTAAGTAGAGCAATAACGAAAGATATAAATGTTACATTTTCTTAATTAGATTATGCAAATTTTTTATATTTCTGTTTTAGTGCTTACCCCAGTGCACCGGAATATTTATCTTTTCCTAAGTTTTCCGCTTTTGCTGTACCATATATGATAATTATGGAAATATTTATATATCTTTATTTGGCGATTGTATATTTTGGATTCTTAAGGTACGAAGGTTATGATGAACTTGTATTTGTAGTTCGTTAGCAATATAGTTGAAATAGTGGATTTGGTTTTCAACATGCTTTTCTTTAAATATTTTTTTATTAACTATATTATAGTTTATGTAAAGCAGATTTTTTAAAGAATTGCATTTTGTACTATTTTGTCATTATTCAACAAAAATTAAAATTAATTTTATAGGCCCAATAGCGCAGCTGCAAAACGAGCAGAAATCCCAAAATCTGGCAAAGAAGCAGCTCAAAAGGCAATCGCAGAAGACAGTAAGAAAATGGGGAAAATATCGTTTTGGGAAATTGTAAGATATTTACAAAGTATTAAATATTTTATGTAAAATATTTGTGTAAATATCAAGAACGGATATCATATAAAAACAAAGTCGTTTTGTGTAGTAGCAGAAGATTTTATAATAAAACTTAATTTTTTTATATTTTATTGGACTTCAGATGGTAATATTATTATTTGGAGGAGCTATGGTGAGCTTCTTCTGCCGCTCTCCTCAAATATTCGAAGGATGGGGAGACAAAATAATACAACACTTTGAGATAGAGGATAAAAAATTGTATGTATTTTTTTGTTTAATCACTAGTTATAACTGGGTTTTACCCGCTTTAATAAGTTTAAAAAAGTATTATACACATTAATTTAGTATATAGTTCGGTTAAAAGATATCGCACATTCATAAAAAAAAATTAAAATTCGAGCAAATTAAGTCAGTAGCTTAAATATATTATAAAGAATCAACAAGGAAATTGTCATAAGTCGTAAATAAAATTTTTATTTTATTTTACAGTGTTAGAGACTCAGCTTTGGCTATGTTCGTTTCATTTCTTATGTTTCTCTTACCGTCAACTTTACAAATCATAATGAACTGCAAAGCTAAATGTATGTATTCTTTTAAAATAATTTTTATATTATATAATTTTATATTGTGACGTTTGTATGATATATGTTCACTTTTGATATTTTTTTTATTCATTTTTACTAAAGTTTCTACCAGATTGTTATTGTAAAATGTCCCACGGAATTAGAATACTCATTATCTCTGTATACACTACGGAAGATAAGAGTATGAACTTTTTACAAAAACTATTTCGAAATATCAGTCGTATATGTATGATTTATTAACAAGAAGATTTAAATTCATTATTAGCAATTGGCGTTCGACGTGGGATCGAAAAAACTAAGAGCCGGCATGTTTGGTGGTATTCGCATTATTCATGAAGTCTGTCATAAAAAAAAAGTCTATTAACATTTCTTGCAATATACATAGGTCTCTGTTGTAATTATTTTACATTAGTTTTATTCTATATTACAGTCCATGAGGATTTGCCAAAAGGACGGGTGAAATCCGTATTAGACTGGAAATTACTGAATGCTGTAATGCCTTTTAGTTTCATGTTTCTATTAGGTAAATATTATTAATTAATTATTTCTTTATTGACCGCATTATAAAAAAAATTGATATAAAAAATGGACTTAATGCTACACAAAGCATTCTCTCATTAATCATATAACAATTAATTTAGATCAATAAGAATATAAACTCAGTCCATTATGTCACCAACCTCATGTCACATCAATGTCACAAACAGAACACCAACGTCATACAATTATAGCAGTTATTTGCTAAAGCAAAAAGCTATTTTTCTTTAAAAAAAAATGGCATATTGAACCATCACCCAAATTAAATCGTACTAATAGAAGATTAAGCGTTATTGACATCAAATATTATTATATTTGACGTTAATGAGAATATAACATAAACGTTGTCTGATATAGCCGCAAATTAATTATAAGTCGCAAAAAATTTCACAGACATTAAAGGAATGAGTACAATTGATATTAATTTATATTTACGTATATCTTTTTTTACAGGAGGTGGATTCGCCCTTTCTAACGCAGCAAAGAAAACTGGTCTAAATGACAAAATTGGAGAATCACTACGCGGACTGTCCGCTGCACCGAATCTCTTAGTTCTCTTGATTATAATCATTGTTGTTGTTCTTATTACGAACTTTGCATCGAATGTGGCTGTTGCAAATGTTTTTTGTCCAATAGTGATGCAATTAGTAAGAATACTGTATTTTATTTAAGTAAATATACGAGTTATAATCAGCGTATCCATTGGACTTGTGCAACAAGCCAGTGATAGTATATGTAATTTCTCCAAAGAAGGTCAAAATCTATAAATACAATAAAATTGAAAAAATTAAGATTTTCAATTGTAACAAAACGAGTACGATGTTAAGAACTAAACTACTAGACCGACTTTGGTAAAATTTCTATGGAACCAATCTGTAGGTTACCTTTTCAGATATTTTTTGAAATCGAAGTCATGAGGTAACAAACATAAGAAAATAAAACGGACTTTAGAACCTCTTGCTTTTTGAAGTCGACTGCAGAAGATATTTAGTACGTAAACCATAAAAACAACTAGAAGTTGAAATTTAATCTATCTTCAAACATAATCTATATCCCACGTGGTGCCTGCATTAATTCCTATATATGTAATACGATAAACCAGTATATAGGTTTACATTTGTAACAAATTATCAAATAATATGTTACAAAACTTTCATATTTCTAATACAATTATTATTTTTTTATTACAGGCGAAAGAAATTAATAGAAATCCTCTATGGTACAACATAGCGGCTGGTTATTCCGCATCATATGCTTTTTTGTTACCTGTCGGTACGCCTGGAAATTTGGTAGTTCAAAGTGCCGCTAAAATTCCTACTAGGAAAATGGTATGCAAATTCAGAAAAATTGGTTTTTTTACTATTTTTTTCTGCACATAATAAAAAAAAATATATTTAGAATAGTATAGAGATTGCCAAATAATAACACAGTCAGAATACAATATAAGTACACGACCTTTACCTCTATATATTTTGCTTTAATTCTTTATACTCGTATTGACATTCTGAGGTATCAAAAGAGGCAAATAGGGCAATGAAGTCAATTCAATAGTGCAAAATAAGAAAAACATAAAAGTCTTCCTCTTGTAAAGTGTATTTTTAACGGATGATAATGGAACGATAATCCTGTCTGCGCTATCGATATACTCTGGCGGGGCAACAGTGAGGGATGGTAGGTGAGAAAGAAGCAAGTCAGTTAGCACATCGTGATGAATTCACCAATAAATCAATCACGATGATTTCCAGGGGTAGCAATAGGGTTGCTAATCGTCATTAATAACAATTCTTTATTTTCCCAAATTTGGGATAGTAGTAGATCATTATGATAATAAATATAAGAATTGACGATGATTAACTTACATACAGATTACATAAAGCATTTTGAGAACTATTATACCATATTTTTACAATGTTAAAAACGTTACATTGTAGACTGTGATTAGTTTCTTATTAGCTAATTAGCTATAATTGAAATTTTAATACTTGAAATAAATTTTATATAATAAATCTAGAATAACTATTATTTCTATAATTTTGTCTGAAAAGTCGATAAAATAAATTGAACCTTATTTGATATCAGTTCATTTTTACAGGTAAAAGCTGGATTAGGTCCTACGATTAGTACAATTATAATAACTTGGATTGCTATATCCTTCTGGGCGCCAGTTATATGGCCTGATTTACACACGATGCCGGATTGGATCTCAGCCAGTAGCAGACGTATCTAAATACAAAAGGTATTACTTATAAATCATGTATTTATTTTTTTATATTGGTATATCTGGAGGATGAAAATTTAATGAATTTGTTGTTTTTGTAATTTTCGATAATTGTTTCGATTTCATACGGATGTCTTCATTAGAATGAGGAGGGCGCTTAACTCGCAATGTTACTTGTCTTTATTTGCACTATGAACCGCCGCGCGCTCTTCATTAAAGATTTCCGTTATCCCTTTACGACTATATCTATTTCTGTGATAAAAGAAGTTTGAGTAAAGTTCTTAGCTTTTTAATGTCGTTCTATCTTTATATATATATACTGTAATTGACTCATACCAAAGCAGATGAGAATATCAAATATAAAAATAATTTGTGATTTTCCTACCAAACCCGAGAAGAAAATACATGAATACTCATAATACAGTGTATTTTTGTAATACCTATTGTGTTGTGTTGTGGTATCTATAGCTTACGCTTACTGCTTTCCATTAGGAGGATCATCACATTGCCATTTTCGAGTAATTAAAAAAAACGTTCTAAATTGTAAAATCGATTAATAAATGAATCATTTTTGCACACAGATGAAGTGGAACTCCACAAAATTCAAGTAATTCTGTTGTTGTCGTGTACTTTCCATAATATTTTAACTCAGAAGAACGTAATTTATTTTTCCGTTTTAATTGATCTTTATTAATAAGATATTCGATGTAACGAATTAAGTTTTTGTTTAACTGAATAAATGTATTTTGTAAATACAGTATTTTCATTTACTGAATAATATAATATATATTATAATATATTGACGAACTAGTGATGATATAACTTTCGAATAAGTACCACCTATATCCTTGACAGACTTAGTATAATGATACTAAGTCTGTCAAGGATATAGGTGGTTCTGGGAATAATAAAAAGCTGAAGAAATACGAAATTACTGGAAGAAACAGATTATATTAAATCGACATTTAGTCTAGGAGATGCTTTTTTGTTCACTACTACTTTTTATCTTTCTTTATAACAAAACGATGTCTCGCTGACTGTAAAATAATTCGACATTTGTGAAAGAAATACAGCGTAAAAGAAATACAGCGTAAAATTCAAAATTATTTGATCATATTCTTTGAAACATGGATATCTCTAACAAGTATTATATAAAAATATTATTAAAAAGGTTAAAAATTATATTCAATATTTTATTGAACTAGATGTTATTTTGTAGAAGTCCATATCACTGATTAGTTGATTAGAATTATTTTGTTTAATTCCGCTATCATTAGTATACTATACATGCAACTATTTAATTATATCAATTTATTGGATATTGCAAATTAATAATAGAATAGAATAAAAAAGAAACATTTATTGCTATACAATTACAATATAAAACATAAATAACATATACAAAAAGTGTCCCATACTCGGCAAAAGAAACCGGCTCAGCTGATGCTGTGAGTGTCCCAGCGCAATGTGAACAGTTGCACAGCGCTGGTTTTCAGCCAGTCCCTCTCTTAACAAAACAACGAAAGTGCAGGGTACCACTATAAATTAATAATAAGTTTCAAGTTAATCATTTTAGTAATAATAGCAGTGAAGTTGCATGATTTTCCATCAAGTGTTCTCAGATGGAGTAAACACAACTTAAATTGTATTCCAAAAACTGCAGTCTGTTAAAAAACTTATTATTATATGTGTACGAAACTGTATAATGCAATCCCTGAAGAATTTAAAGAATTAGGTCTTAATCAATTCAAACAAACCTTGTTGAAGTGGCTCTTACAAAAGTGTTTCTACTCTGTAAAAGAATTTATTGAGTATAAACGTGATAGTATTTAGTGTATCATACTTGATATAAATGTTATTAATTAATAGATAAATTATTCACTTTGAGGTGATTGTTAATAACGAGTCCATTATTTGCTTACGTTATATAGATAGAGTGTTTACAATTATTTTTTTATTGGATGAAAATGGAATGGCAGCCCCGCCTGCACTAACGGGATACGCTGGCGGGGCACCAGTGAAGGGTGATCGATGAGGGTGAAAACAGGCCAGTTAGCCTATCGTGATGAATTCATCAGGAATTAATCATGATAGTTTCTAGGGAGAACCGCGAGGAGGTTGACCTGGTTGGGTATATATTTACAATAATTATTTGAGTATACATATAAAATATTTTTTATACTACTTAGAATGGCAAACAAGCTGACGGCCCACCTGATGGAAAGTGGTAACCGATGCCTATAGACATGAGCAGTATCATGGACATAACAGAGTATACTGTTTCGCCCATGATATCCCCCATGCGTTGCCATTCCTGAGGACTCAGGTGTTATTTCTCTGTACCCTGTAAATCCACGCCATAGCATAGCACATAGCCACCCTTCAAATTGAAACTCAGCCATGCAGACACAACTGCTTTACGGTTGAAACACAAATGGAACAAAGGTACCCAAGCAATCGACTTTTGTACAAAGTCTCCCTCTGGTAAATGCTTTCGTTTTTAAATATGTAATTGAAAATGTGAACCATTTTTGTTAATAAATATATATTCATCTGCAAGCAATACGTATATTTGTATATTTATATTATATAAAAAAAAAAATTGTTCCCAATTATAATTTAAAAATCGTATTGATCTTGGAAAATTTTAATCTAAGTACTTCGAACATTGAAAACGGTACGTTTGTTTTGATTAAAAAAAAAAAGTTTCAGCCAATTTGGCGTTCGGTTATTAAAAGTTATTCTGTTTTTACAATGCTCAATCTATAGACTGAGGTTGTTTGTTACCTGAGCCAAAGGATCTGAAATTTTGAGTAGTGATTTAATTTCAACTTTTATATTTGACAAAATTTGTTTGAAATATATTACAATTTTTCTTTTGTAAAACAAAATCTTTGAATTCTATGTATACGATGCAAAAAAAAAAATAAAGATACATAGATTAAGAATGGTGCCTAAAGGCGACTTCATGCAGGGAAATAAAAGTTAATCCGCTATTTGATGGAGTGATAAATACAAATAGGTTGCAAGGAGACGATACTCTACGATAGCTAAATAATGATGTTAACATAAATCTCTGTTGTAGGACGCTATCATAATGTTTTTTGGAAGTATGATCCTTGCTAATGCTGTCGAAAAGTCTGGACTTCTTGCATTGTGGGCCATAAGAGCAATTAACAATTCTAATTACAGATAAATACTGTAGAAAAACTGGAAAAAATTGTATTTTTTCGATTTATTACTATTTAGTAAAAATTTCATTTTATTGAACACACCCTTAAAAATACATAAAATGAAATCATTATTTCAATTTCACATTTTATTTCACGTTGATCTGAAATATAATTGTTTAACAGTGTAGTATTGCTCCTCGCTAATTCATGGTAATACTACACTGTTAAACAATTATATTTCAGATCAACGTTCATAAAATTATAATCGGACTTCACTTAAGGTAAGTTGGTCCAATTGTTCAATTATATTCAATAAATAATTTATTTGCATAAATATAGATATAGTTTTAAAGATGCCGTTTTGTGTTATATAGAGTACTACGTTCATTTAATTATTAATTTACATTTTATTGCATCATTTATAAAAATATTAAGTGCAGTAAATTATAATATGATGTGATACGAAAGGCCGCTTTATTGCTAAGCAATCTCTTTCTGGTAATCTTTAGGTAAAGAAAAATTATACGAGTATTATTATTAACATCATTGTGCGTAAAAATTTACACATTACGATTTTAATAATAACAACTCCATTTATAGCTAAAGAATATAGATGTCTACGAATATAAGTAGGTACTTATTTTATGAAATGTACTACTTTTTACAGAATATTTCACTCTTGAAATGATATTATTGATAATATATTTTGTATTTGAATTTACTTGATACCTTGTTTAGAGTTTATTTTAAATGCATCTTTCAGTACTTCTGTAAATATTTACTCGACTACTATGTTTATTTATTTAACGCACTAAAATAAATGTTTGTATAACTACTTACTGGAATCGTAGTATTTTTTTAATTTGAAAATTTTTGGTAATACACCTACGTGAAAAATTCTCTAAGAAAAATGGTTGCTTTAACGATGGATAATCTAGGCGTCTTTTTTGTCTATCAAAATTAATAGAATACGCTCAGTGTGTGCTATAATAATGCATACCAGTTGATGTAAATAGAAGTATTTAATTTTATAAAGTACCTAATTGTTATCGTCATAAATAACTTATTAGCCTTATTTGAAAAGGTCTAAAGGTGTTTCATTTTTGTACTCATGTAATTGAACTCTGTTAATTTTCTGTTCCCCTTTTTATTTTATAATGTCACTTTTATTATTAGATTAGTCTAAATTAGTTACAATAAAATTCATCGTGTAGTCTTGTAAGAGGTGATTAAGGGACCTTAATGGACGAGAGTTGTCCAGCAGCGTCTCCCTTTAAACATCACCAATGCCGAATTGCGATTGCCAACCCGCCTACCAGGTATGGCATAATTAGCAAACCCCCCAATAGGGGTAGGCCTATGTTCAGCAGTGGACAGATAATGATTAATATTATATAATAAAAATGACGATGATGAAGTTACAATATTTATATGTAATGTATTGAGGTGCAACTGTTTCTGTTCTTAATGTAACCTTGTTAGTTATGTATATTACATGAACATGTCCCTTATCAATTTTTACTTGTAATATTATATCGGATTGTAGGTGTATTTTTAAACTAATTTGTACTCTAAAATGATAACTCATTTAGTCAATGTACTTATACCCATATTCTCTTCGCTAACAGATTGCTATTTGCATTGTCGTTCATAACTATGTTCATATCTATGTGAATAACGAATACTGCTGCTACCACTATAATGGTTCCCATAAATTTGGGTCTTTTGAAAGTATTTGAGAAAGTACCTACATAAGATTAGCTCTCTCTCTCTCTATTTTATTACTTTAGCACTAGCTCTCTGAAATAGTATAAGCAACACAGGTTTACTTGTTTTGTATAAACTAAGAATTGAATAGGGCAGTAAACACCTAATTATATTTTATCTGTAAACAAATACAGTTAATATTAGATACAATAAATAAATTGGAAGTTGATTTTTTGAGCATTATTTAATGATTGAAAATATAATGTAAACTTAGATAATTTACTTTAAATTATAGATACTGTTCTACACAATATTTCCATTTTTTTGTATGTATTCCAACACATCATTTTGTAAAACAAAAAAAACCTTTTTTGTTCTGGTGTATTTTCTTATACACAATTACTATATAATATTTTATTTATTGTAAAAATTTAATTGACATTTTATTTCCACAGCAACAATAACTAAATATTTACGAAACAAACGTCGATGGCAATATTATTGCTTCCGATATAACAACATGCTATTTCTGTGCTGCCACCTTCTCCGCAACTGTAGGTACTAACAAAGCAAAACAAACATATATAATATTTTGTGGCGTTTGGTAATATATTTTAATGTTGCAGGTGGAATTAGAACTTTAGTTGGTACTGCAACTAATTTAGTATTCAAAGGTCTTTTTGTTAAGTAAAAATAATATGTTTTATTATTAAAGGTATGTACATATAGGTGTATATTATACACATATTCAGTATTTTAACCACGCTCTGTTAGTATTTGTAATGCTGACTATCAGTCCCATTGATAGCAACATACCCTGTCAGGTCGACTTGATGGTCGACACGCGGTC